GGGCAAAAGACAGGCAAGGTACCAAGACTAACACAATTTTAACCCAGATCTTTCCACCATTTGGTGGGATTTCTAACATTACATCAGAAAAAATTGAATATATCAGGTGGGAAGGTTTGGATACCCAGTAGTCAGAGAATAAAAAGGAGAAAGGGAGCAGTGAAAATGCTTTCAGGGCAGAAGTAAGAGCCCAGCATAATACTGATCTTTTGTTCTGCAGTGTTTCACCCGAGGATTTGAATACAAGAAACATCAGAGTGATCACACCTATGAGATAATGGTAAATATTCCTTTTGGATAACACCTGCTCAGTCCTGAGCTTTCACAGCTTCCCAGGAGTGAGACACTTGCTTACTAATATTACCTTGAAAGGTTAAGTGATGTAATTCTTTGATTCAGAGGTTTAGAATGATTAAAGAAAAAAAGAAGGAAAAGAAAAAATCTTCCTTGATTGCAAAGAAAAATCCCCCTGGAACATAATGGAGTAGTGGAGTCATTTAAAGCTGCATTTTTGATTGTGCCTGGATAGCGCAGTGCACCTCACTAGACTTCCAGTTCTTTACCCGTGTAAATCAACTCTGCTTCCCTATTCTTGTTTTTATTTCCCCCAAATTAATAGTTTTTAAAGTCTTCAGTAATTTTTGCTGTGTTTCACAACGTAACATTGTGGAATTACAGCTGGGAGGTGCAACATGGGCCGGGGTTTGCTGTGGTTGATGCCCCAGTGCCCTGAATAATTCAACAATTATTCCATCAGGTTTGATGGGGCACAGTGAAGGTTTAAAACTACCAGAGTTATCTGCTGTGCTGCCCTGTGCTCTAGAGCTTCTTTGCTCTTCCTGAGGTGGGTTATGTCAGAGGGTCACAGCAATTTGATCTGCCTTTCTCTTCCCTAGACGTCCGATTTCCCTGTCTTGGATCCCAACTGGACAGCTCAGGAGGAAATGTCTCTCCTCGAAGCTGTGATGGACTGTGGATTTGGGAACTGGTGAGAATTCAATGATTCAGCCAATTTCAGTGAATAATGGGCAGGTTTCCCTTTCATTTCCCTGGATCTCACTGTTGAACACACCAGTGCACTTTGAAAGTTCAGTGGTTTATTGTGGGTGAGACACTAATTTAGCAGCTAAGGTGGAAGGCTGGGGTTCCAGATCCTGTTTTCTGGAGTTGTTTTTTTTCCCCTTCATGAAAAAATAGCTGTATTAAAAGTACAGAACCCCAGCATTCCCTGAAACAGAACTGAGAGTTCCTGGGTGCCTCTTGCTGCCAGAATTCAGACTGAGAACTGGTTGCAATGTGCTGTCGAGTACACTTTGCTCTGCTTAGCAATACAAATAATCTTCATTTTTTTCCTCAAACATTTGGCCTTTTTCAGGCTTTACCAAATAAAGGAAAAACTGACTTTTCATCCTGGAATCCCTTGCATCCAGTTTTGAATTTAACAGACAGTAAAATGATTGCTGCTGGTAGATTTATTTAATTTTTTTTTTAAGTCCTCAGCTTACACAGCCGTTTTACAAAGACCAAATACTTCATGTTTCTAGTCAACCCCTTTTCCAGGAAAATCACGTGAAGTTTCCTAGGATGTGAGAGTGATTTGCATTGTTTATGGCCTCCCAAAAAAATGCTCCCTTTTGCGCTCCTCAAACATGTGAGTATTGGCTCAGTGTTGGTACTGACAGAGTGAACTCATCATCACAGGGGCAGTTCTCTACACGCAACACAATCACCCTCTTGCCCAAAATGATCTTCTCCCACTGGGGAAATTAAAAGAAACTGGACATTTCCATGTTCTTCATGTGAAGCCTCCCCCTCTCCCCGCTCCAGGCAGGACGTAGCCAACCAGATGTGCACCAAATCCAAGGAGGAGTGTGAGAAGCACTACATGAAACACTTCATCAACAACCCCCTGTTTGCATCCACGCTGCTGAACCTGAAGCAGGCAGAGGAGGTGCAGCACCACGAGACAGCCATTCCCTTCCACCGTGAGTATCCCTGCCCTGCGAGGCCTCTGCTCTGCCAGCACTGGAATTAATTCCTTGGTGTGTCAGATAGACAAGGCCTGCCAGCTCTGTGGGGAGAGGTGGGGGACAGAGTGGTCTCACACACGCAGGGGGTTCTCAAAGGAACCTGCCCATCCAGAGGACACTGTCACCCAGAAATCACCCCAGCAGAAACCTGGATCTTTGTGTCCATTTAAAGGACAAACTACCCCAAAGCTCCTTCAGGTGTGTCCCTCGTGGCAGATACCAGTGTGATTCTCTCCCTGATGCTGGTGGTTACTTTCCCTGTCCAGCCCCTGTGTAGCAAAGGTGTCTGAGGAGGGATTTCTGCCTTAAAACATTTCCTTTGGTTGTGGCTATGTTATTGTGTGTACACTGTGTCCCAGGCCTCACTGCTGATGTGATTTGTCACAAAGCCACTCCTTTCAACTCTGCTGATTTCACACCTCTCTCTTTAAAACTGCCTGTTAAAAAGTCTGAGCTGAATCTCGGCAGTTTAACAGATTCTCAGTTTTCCTTGCATTTCCCATCTTTAGCATTCCCCCAGTCTGGCAGCTGCTCCTCTCCAAAGCTCCCCAGCAGCCCTGGGTGAGATGGTTGCTGGGTGTCTGGAGGTTTAAATTTCCCAGTAAAGTGGTTAGAGCTAAACGGGAGGAACTGGGCAATTTTGGTTCTGTCCCTGGCTGTTATTGATTTTTTTTTTATGTGACCTGGGCCAAGACAAACTCTCTGTGCCTCAGCCTGTTTTATCTGTAGCGTGGGGCATATAATGCTCAGCCCCTGCACAAGTGTATTGTGAGCCTCAGACTGTTATTGTCTGTAAAACACTGAGCTCCTCAGCTGGGAAGTGCTGTAAACACTGCGAGTTCTCTTGTTTTAATTGCAGCTCTGTCAATGGCCCTCAGAAGAAGGCAAATTTAACACTCCTGTTGCTATTAACTAAAAGAACCTGCACACTGAGCCCCGGGGATCTGCAGAGGTTTATGGGGGGGATGCTCAGCTCCAAAATGCAAAGTTTACGTTTTATTACCTATTTATTACCTTGAATTTGTGTTTGACTTTTGGGAATACTATGAAGAGCTCAGATTACTGCGTTTTTCTCTGGATGAACTGTCTTTTTCTGACTATAACTCTAAACAAAAGCCCAATCAGGGTATTTTTCTTCCGCTAATTATTCCCACTTTTCCTGCAAAATAAACACTTAAAAAAGAAGACCCCAAGCCCTACACAACAACTACAAACCTTTGTTTTTTCCAGCTGCTGATGATCCCCCACGGCCGACTTTTGATTCCTTGCTCTCCAGGGATATGGCTGGGTACATGCCAGCCAGAGCTGACTTTGTTGAGGTGAGGCTGACTCTTCTCCCCTTATTTTAAATTTGCTGCTGAGTGCAAGCTCAGCACACACACACACCCACACCCCTGTTTGCCCCTGCCTGTGGGTCTTAGCTCTTCATTTTAAAACATCAGGAGAGAGGACAGGACTGAGTGATGCTCTGAACCTTGTGGTTTAGTTTAAGGTTATCCTGTGAGGAGGTTTTATGGTTATCCCGGACTCTGATCCTTATGGTGCCCTTCCAGCTTGAGATACCCTGCAATTCTGTGATTAAACCTGTGGGTTAATGAAGGATTTGATGACAGAGGTGGCGCTGGTGGCCTGCAAAGCTGGGAGCAGTCAGTGAGGCTGCAGGACATGCTGCTGCCACCAGATGTCCAGCCAGGAATGCCCTTACATAAGCAGAGTGGATGCTGAGAATTAGATGCTCAGCCAGAGGGATCAGCTCCAGCACTGTCACCTGCCTTAGGGAAGCACACAGGACCCTGCTCCAGACGTGCCTTGAAAGACCTGCCCTGTTTTCAGTGCTTTTAGCTGTGGGCCCAAAGCCCCAGTTCCTGCTCCTGTCCCTGAAGGGATGAATCCAGCCATGCAGGAGCTTGGTTTTGTACGTGGGAGCAGGATCAGCACCAAAGCGACTGGTGAACCACAGGACCATCCCAGGAACCCCACCCTGTGCCTGGACAACGCTCTCAGGCACAGGGTGGGATTGTTGGGATTGTCCTGGGCAGGGTCAGGAGTCGGACTTTGGTGATCCTTGTGGGGCCCTTCCAGCTCAGGATATTCTGGGCTCGTCTGGCTCTGATTTCCATCACAGTGTGTGTGTTTCCATCACATGGGGGTCCTGGTTAATTGTCCTTCCCCTGTCACACCACCCTGCTCCAGTCCCAGCCGTGTCACACCCTGCCCAGTGAGAGCTCCCCTGGGGTGTTTGTTGCTCAGAATGGACCTTTGTACCGCTGTGTTTGAGTGAATATCTCTGGTTTCAATCCTCCTACCTGTACTGAAACCTGAGACCAGTATTTTAGTGCTGGCTGCTGACAATGTGTTAATCACCTCTGAACAGGAGTTTGACAACTATGCTGAATGGGATCTGAGAGATATTGATTTTGTAGAAGATGATTCAGACATTTTGCATGGTAAGTCCCATACTTTTTGTACCCTGCCTGAAAACAACGTTTCAGAGTGTCTACACAGCTTTTCACCGAGTCTCTTTCACTACACCCTTTAAAAGTGAACATACATTTGTAATGTATGGGGGTTTTAATGTGGGTTGTTTTTCTTTTTAATCTGTGTTTTTATAATGTGTTTTTTAAATCTCACTGGGATTTAAACACTGGCATTTCTTCAGTCCTTGCTTTCAAATCTCTTCTAAAAGGTCTGAACCAACTGATGTACAACTGGTATTTATGTACAGAATAATGCATCTCACTCACTGCTGAAATACAGCCAGTTGTAAAGTACAGCAGGACTGAAATCAGAGAGTCTGCACCATCTCAGGCATCTCCTTAGGAAAGACACAAATGAGGTTCTATCCAGGATAAGCTCTAGAGGAAGTTGAGTGGAAACAAATGATCTGAGGTAACAATTTTTGGGCACAGGTGACGGTACATAAGAGTTTGATTAAACAGACTCACAGGCCTATTTAAAACCAGAAAACTTCAATGCCTTGGTATTACTTCCCCTCCCTCCCTCCCCAGCTCAAAAATATTCTCTTCACCTACACAAAGTTTGTGAGCATCACACCAAGGTTGCCAATACCCTTTTCCCTGTTACATCTAGTTTCTCAGGAGATATGTCACTTAGCTAGTAAAATGGTTTAGAAAACACCTAAACATCTGTCTGATCTCAGGGTAGGTATTAATGCAGGCAGCAAGGAGGTGTGTGGTTTAGGACTGTGTGAAACACATTTAAGCTGTTGTACTCTCCAAGTTGTGTGATTTTTCATGTGTTAAACATGCCCTGAGTTAGAGCAGCATTAGCTGTGTGGGACAGCTTCCTTTTTATTGTGAAGATAATGGTGTGAGCCCAGTTACTGCTCTGAGTTTCTGTGAACGGAGCTGCCTTAATAATGGGGAATAACAGGAGTTATTAAAGTGACATTTTAATCCACAGGGAAGAAAAGATCCTGCTTTTCCCCACGTTTATAAGTACATACAGTGTTGAAAAGTCCTGTGTTTATGCCTCAGAATTCTCCCATCTGTGTCAGGCAGTTCTAAGCTAAAGCCTTTGCATCCCTTGGAGACAGACAAATCCTGTTACGTACAGACAGTCTTGCCAAAGTTAAAAAAACCAGTTGGAAATTCAGCAGTGCAGGCAGGAGCTTTAAAGAATGCAACTCCCTTGGCTCAGGGAAGGTTATGAGAATCGTATGTCAGGCTCTGCTCCCTTTTAACATTTATTGAAAGGGGGACTGGCCTGGGGCCATGTCAGGCATTCATCATGCCAGCTCTCTGCTGTTTCTTTTTATTACTATTGAAAGATACATTTTCTTGCTTCCGTGTCCCATTCTGGGTCCTGATAAACTGAAAAAGCGAAATTATCTTCTAGTTCTGTTCATTAATGGATGGATTAATGTTCACTGAAGCAGGTTTTCCAGCACTGTCTTCCATTCCCCCACCCCTCCCTTCCTCCCATGCACAGTTCAGTCATTTAAGGTTTCTCCTGGTTCAGTTGTCAGTGAATGCAAGAATCAGATTCCTCATCCCTTCAGCAGATCCCAGAGCTGCACAGGGACAAACCCTGTGGTCTGTCAGAGAAGTACAGGCAGATCCTTCTCCTGGCGTCTTCCACATAGAACTGTAGAATCCTGGAGTGGTTTGGGTTGGAAGGAACCTTGAGGATCATCTTGTTCCACCCCCTGCCACGGGCAAGGACACCTTCCACCAGCCCAGGTTGTTCCAAGCCCCGTCCAACCTGGCCTTGGACACTTCCAGGGATCCAGGGGCAGCCACAGCTTCTCTGGGCACCTTGTGCCAGGGCCTGCCCACCCTCCCAGGGAAGGATTTCTTCCATATATTTAACCTAAATTTCCCCTTTTTCAGTTTGAACCCTTTCCCCCTTGCCTTATCACTGCAGTCCCTCTCCAGCTCCCCTGTAGCCCCTTCAGATCCTGGAAGGGTCTCTGAGGTCTCCACAAAACCTTCTCTTGTGCAGGATGAGCAGCCCCAGCTCTCCCAGCCTGTCTCCACAGGGGAGGTGCTCCCTCAGCAGCTTTTTGTTCCCCTCTGCGTTCCCTGCAGTGACAAGTTCAGACACTCCTTGAGCCCCAGGTTGTGTTCAGCCCCTTCTGACCAGGGGCTTGTCCTCTGGGAGCTCAGCTAAGCACTGCTGGAGCTGTATCTCCCTGTGCTCCTGCCCCCTCCATCCTGCAGCAGGGACTTCCACAATCGAGTTAGGAGTTGGGAATTTAATTATGTGTTGTGTGAAAAAATACTTCCCTCTGTCTGCCCAATCTTTTGCCTGATAATTTCATTGGGTGTTCTCTAGCCCATCCTTCAGTTGTCTTCATTGTTTAGTAAAGGGAGGTCAGGAGTTTGCTCTGTGAAAACTGCTTGGCAGAGGGTGTGGAGTGTGACCAACTGCATTTTGGATCTCTCAGCTCAGGATCTCTGGCATCTGCCTTCCCACAGCTGTCCCAGGTCTGCCCTCGGGAGAGAGAAAACCACTGAAAAACGGAGTCCCAGGGTCTAGCCAGTTGTTTTTTCTTTCACATGAGGCATCTTGGAGAGAAAAAGAATGAAAAAGAATCCTTTTCTAAAAAATTTGGAATAAGATCTTTCCCTTCTCCCGAGTTAATACAGAAAAAAAAAAAAAAAAAAAGAAAAGAAGGAGCCACATCCTCCCTGTCCTGCAGTTTTAAAGATCTCAGCTGCTGACTTTGCTTGAGAATATTTTGCAACCTAATTGTGGGATTTCACAGTGCAGAAAATGGCTCAACATGTGGCTCTGAAGGCAGGGATGGTTTAAGAAGCCTTTATACTCTGTAGCTGACAGGCAGAGAGGGTTGTGAGGCAACCTGGATGCAAAGGTA